ATTTTGTTCCTAGATGCTAGTTGAAAAAAACAGTGGTCTGGAAACACACAGCAAATCAAGTACCAAACCAATACGCATTTAATCAGAAGGCAAATAAACAAAAGTCTCACTGGACCGGCATTAGGAACTTCCAAACCTTCCGAGATGAAATAAACAGAAGACCGAGATCATTTGGATGCGATTAATCGTTTGATAGCACTAAACCCTCTAACACACCGTCCCGTCACGTCGTCTGCATAGATTGCAAAGATGCAGTATGAACACTGGCAAACGTTTGATGAATGCTAACATGAAGAGGCAAACGAAACACTGGCGCTGTGATATCTGAGCCCGGTCTCATGAAAATGCGTATAAATAGTACGCCAAATAAAAACGAAAACCCGTGGTATTGATACGCAAAAATGGACTTTGGCGTGCATATGATACGCATGTGTTTGGCGTGCATATAATACGCAGTTTTCGCGTGCATATGATACTAAATTTGTTGGCGTGCATATGATATGCAGTTTTCGCGTACATATGATACGCATCTACCCCACAACCCTAAACCTACCCATCGCATAGCATATACACGCCAAAGTCCATTTTTGCGTATCAATACCACGAGTTTTCGTTTTTATTTGGCGTACTATTTATACGCACTTGTCTACATTGCAGTAAAAAACAAAACATAACTTGCGTACACTAGATGGCACTATTTTTTATTTCAAAATCTTCCCACTTCTTCTACACTGTGCGCACAGAGACGCATATTTAGAGGAACACCGCAGCACTTCTTCACTGCAATGTGGCAAATATCAGAATAAGACATTGATAAATCTGTTTTATGGTTTCTCAGAGCATGGTACCTAGTGATGATCAGACAAGATCAACAACGGAATGTTGTTAATATTGGACCCAGAAGCAAAAACTTTAAAAACATACACAATTTAAAATGGTTTCAAATACAATGTGTATTTTAAAACAGCTATAGTTTTGCAGAGCAATTACAGATAGGAAGCATTTAACAATGCTGGACCCAGATGAAGCAAACCCATGGGGTTTCCACCGTACAACACAGAGCCAAGGGGTCACGGAAATCTGTCCTTAGTCAATCAAATCAAATCAAAATCTGCTTTGGGCGGCCCCACATCCATCATCTCGGCTGTAATGACCAAACTATGCATCCTAAAAAAGAAAAACCTAAAACACATCGCTATACAAATCTCAATACGTCAAACGCTAACATCATTGTTCCCCAATCTGAACGGTCAAATGTGTAAGTTAGTGATATTTACGCTATACTGTAATGGTAGTGAGTGAAAAGTCCATTTATTTTGTTCCTAGATGCTAGTTGAAAAAAACAGTGGTCTGGAAACACACAGCAAATCAAGTACTAAACCAATACGCATTTAATCAGAAGGCAAATAAACAAAAGTCTCACTGGACCGGCATTAGGAACTTCCAAACCTTCCGAGATGAAATAAACAGAAGACCGAGATCAAAAGTCGAAGGGAACAGGAAGTGAGAGAGGACACAGGAAAGGCACAGACCAAACAGAACACAGCAATAAAACCAGAAACTAGTGCTGTCAAATGATTAATCGCATCCAAAATAAAAGTATTTGTTTACATAATATGTGTGTGTGTGTGTACCGTGTATATTTATTACATATATAAATAGACACACATGCATGTATATATTTAAGAAAAATTTTATGTTTATATATTAAATACATTTATAAATAAATTTAATTATATGAATATAAATATATATATATTTTTTGATGTGACATGTGGCCAAGTATTGGTGACCCATACTTGGAATTAGTGCTCTGCATTTATCCCATCCATAGTGCACACACACAGCAGTGAACACACACACACCGTGAACACACACCCGGAGCAGTGGGCAGCCATTTTTGCTGCGGCACCCGGGGAGCAGTTGGGGGTTCGGTGCCTTGCTCAAGGGCACCTCAGTCGTGGTACTGAAGGTGGGAGAGAGCGCTGTACATTCACTCCCCCTACCTACAATCCCTGCCAGACCGTAACCTTTGGGTTACGAGTCCGACTCTCTAACCATTAGGCCACGACTTCCCCAGGTGCTGCTAGAGAAGGAGTACAGTGCCTGGTTCCCACAGTGGAGTTTGGTGGTAGTAAAGCTCTTATATAGGGATGCATGAGTGCTGAAG